CTGGCTACATCGCCCTTTTCCCCCTTACTGTCTATAACCCCCATCTAGCCCTCCAGGTCAGATATGCCTCCACTGCCGTAGTGGCCAGAGTTGCCTGTGCAGCCAGTTCGGCCAGTGCAGCCCGGGAAGCCTTAATTTGGAATTGCCGAGGTCTCGTCCCACGTGACTTCACCGGGTAACATTTCCTCCCCACTTATGGGTGAGTTCCACGAACTTTGGTCAACTAATCTCTGCATTTCCCCAATTTTCAGCAGACTAACATCACGGAGGGTTATACTTTTGGTTCGGTAAATTTGTTCCAACCCGTACTTAGAGAAAATATCATATACACGTAGTGAGTTTACGTAGTAATATTTTGTAGTAAGCTTTCTTAGGTGTGTTATCTGATCCGTGGTTGCACTCGCATATGCCATCCCTAAGTAATAACAATATGCGAGGATGTGTATGCGATTCTTGAGTCTGGTGGCCTTCTTGATTTGTGTGAACAATAATGTTACGCACATAGTTAAGTCGTTATCAGGATTATAAGGGGGGTTCACGGGGTCGGTGGCGGGGTTTATGGCGGTGAGGTCTTTAAAGATTTCCAAAAAGCTGAGCGTCATTTTCAAACTCTATTTTTCTTTCCCATTCCGTTGGTCTTTTTATTTCTTTATTTTACCCCTTTTGATCTAATCAAAAATATTTTTTTTTTTTTTTTTTTTTTTTTTTTAATGTTATCTCTAGATCTTCTATTCTTTTCGTTTGTTTGTTTGTTTTTTTTTTTTTTTTTTTTTTTTTTTTTTTTTTTTTTTTTTTTTTTTTTTTTTTTTTTTTTTTTTTTTTTTTTTTTATCGTTTATAGTATTTCTTTAATAACTTGATATTAACTGGCGTAGTGACTACTTTTCCTTCTAAGGTTCTCAATTTTAACATGTTTTTGGGAAGTACCTCATGTACGTAAAATGGTTCTTTCCATTTTGGTTCAAACTTCACGCTTCTGTTGTATTGTAACACTGCACGATACATTAATACCTTGTCTCCTATTTCCAATTTAGGCCATTTCTTGATATTCTTGTTGCATCTATCTTTCATCGCGTCTTGGGCTTTTTGGACCTGCACCACGGCGGCATTACGAACCTCGAGTAAGTCTTGTATTAAGCTTGTTATTCTTTCTAATATTGTCTCACTTACTAATTTCCAGATGTTACCAGATTCAATAAGCAATCTGGCCTCTCGTCCATTAACTAAAAAGAATGGCGTTATTTTGGTGGTTGAATGTTTGGTGGTCCTATAGGCGAATAGGATTGCCGGTATAATCAAATCCCAGTCGGTAACCTGTTCTGCTGTCTTAGCTATTACTTCGCACAAAGTTTTATTGAAGCATTCCACTAATCCATTTATTTGGGGGTAGTACGGCATGGATAGCAAGTGCTTTATACGGAATTTATCTAGTAACTTGTCCACCAATTGGTTGCGAAAATGGATACCCCGGTCAGATAATAACTTTTCTGGGCATTCGTGGTAACAGATTATTTCTTCAAATATGAAGTCTGCCACTTCCTGAGCGTTGGCATATTTTATGGCCTTAGCTTCTGGCCACTTAGTCATGTAATCTGAGGCTACTACAATGTATCAGTTTTCCCTGGGCGTTATTAGTAGTGGACTAATGATATCGATCACTACCTGGTAGAACGGAGATTTTACAGGTATGGGATATAATGGTCCTCTTTCTTTATTTCTGCCCTCCTTTGACACCTGTCACATCCTTTAATATGTTGTTTTATGTCACCGTACATACCAGGCCAGAAAAAGATTTGCTGGATCTTATTGAATATGGCATCTACCCCGAAGTGTCCTCCCAAAGGATGGTCATGGGTCATCGTGAGTATTGCTTCGGTCTCGCCTTTTTGTGCAACCTTTAGCAACTTATCCGGATTCTGATTATCTCTTTTATATAAATTTCCCTCTATTACTTTCATTGTCCTTCCACTACTAATTATTTGTTTTACTTGTTTTTGGTCTAGGTTTATCGGGTAATGCTGATCGTTTAGGTACCTTATGATTTGCTTATATAGCATTGGATCCATTTTTAAATTTAATTGCCAGGACACTGACAACCTGGACTGTATAATATTTAATATCAGATTTAAGTATTTATTTCTTTCTCTTTTTGTTGTTGTTACGAACTATAATAACTACTATTGTTTATTATATAGGTCTATTCGTTTTGGGTTGAATTCTAATACTGGATAAAGGTTTCGGCGGCGTAGAGTTCTAATTTACTTTTTCCCAGATGGGTACGCTTATGTTGTATAATTCGTCTAATTTTATTAGTGTATCGTCTACTACTTGTTTAATGTTTAATATATACTGATATCCGTTTTGCTCTGACCAGGTTAATTCTCTGCCAGATTTGTAGGTAAGTGCTCTCAATAACTCTTCGTATTCGGCTTCCTTTTCGTTATAGTTTTCACAATAGTCATCTTCGTTTATATCCCACCAGTCCCATCCGGTCTCATGGTTATAGGTTATGGTGGAACCTAGTTCGATCCATTCCTCATTAGAGTCTTCGCTTTCGGTCCGATAATTGTTATACTTGTCATATTCATCATATTCCGCTAGATTTATTAACCATGCTAATTCTGTTTGTTGTTTATCCTTTTCTATTAATTCTTGTTTTTCTTTCTTAGGTTCTTGGCTACGAGAAAAGCCATTAGCGTTATTATGGATCCTACCAGCTTGGTGCTCTATAGTATAATTATAGGGCTGTAACCTAATGATCTACTTCGCATGTCTACCATTGAGCTTGGTCGTATAAAGCCATTTCAGGGCTATATGGTCGGTTACTATAACGAAAGGCTTAAATCCAAAGTAATAGTGGTAGTATTCCACGGCCCATAATACTGCTAGATACTCCAACTCTGTGGCTGAATAATTCCTTTCTGCTTGGGTTAGACTTCAGCTAGCGTAGGAGATTATATGATCTTTATTGTTTTCCGACTTTTGTGCTAACATTGCTCCTAGTCCCGTTCCAGATGCGTCCGTATGAAGGTAAAACGTCTTGTTAAAATCTGAATATTGAAGGACTGGCGCCAAAGTTAAGTATTCCTTTAACTTATTGAATGCTGTTTTTGTTCACTTTCCCATTTATAACTAACATCTTTCTTTAGCAAATTATGTAGGGGCCGAGCTATAGTGGCGAAGTTTCTAATAAAATGACGGTAATAGGATGCCAGTTCTATGAAGGCTCTTAATTGTCTAACCGTTCTTGGAATTGGATACTCTTTCACCTTCTCTATCTTAAAGTCATCGGGATGGATACCGTGGCGACCAACCACGTGACCAAGAAATTGGATTTCAGGCTTAAAGAAGGTACACTTTTCAATGTTAATCCTTAGGTTTGCTTCTTTTAGCTTACTAAATACTTTATCCAAATGTTCTAGATGTTCTTGGAAAGTTTTGGAGTATACATTGATATCATCAATGTATACCTCCACAAACTTGCCTACGTATTCTGCCATTACTATGTCTATCAACCGCTAAAAGGTAGCCAGGGCATTGCAGAGCCCAAACGGCTTTATCCGGAATTCGTATAACCCACTTCTGGTAACAAACGCAGTCTTCTCTTGGTCGATTTTATTCATCCTAACCTGCCAATAACCGCTTCTTAGGTCTATGCTAGAAAACCACTTTGCTTCCTTAAATTTTTCCAATAAGTCGTCGATTCTTGGTTGTGGGTATGCATCCTTTTTGGTAACCGCATTTAGCTTACAGTAGTTAATGCACATACAGAGCTTACCGCCTTTCTTGGGAACGATTACTACCGGTGAGGCCCATGGGCTTTCGGATTTTTGTATTAGGCCTTGCTTTTCCATATTTACTAATTCTTTATCGATGAATTCTTGTTCGTCTGGGGACGTTCTGTAGAAGTGTTGCCTTATGAGTTTGGCCTCGGCAGTGTCGATACGGTAGGTAGTCAGGTCAGTCTGGCCTAGACTATCTTAGTCATTAAAGAGCTCAATCTTATTTTGAAAGAACTCTCGGGCTTTCTCTTTTTCCTTTTCAGTTAGGGCTTCACTTTGGATCAATCTTTTCAGTCTCTCTTTTTCGGTGAGTGTTTCTTTTTCTTTTTCTTGTATAGGGAGTTCCTCTACCATGGTTAAATATATTGCTAGGCTAACCTCATTTTTCCAAGGATTTTCGTAGATGTCCGGTTCTTCCTCTGACGATTCCAGAGTATAGTATCCTTCTGCTTCGTCCAGGTCTTCGTCTTCATAGGTGAACTCGTCAAATGTGTCCCCACTTTCCACATCCCAATTATTCTCTTTATTATGTTGATTTAGGGCTTCATTACCAGTATAAGATATTGGCACTTCGATTGTTCGACCTTGGTATTTGAGGATTAATTTTTGTTCGTCGAAATGGATTCTTGCTTTCACTTTTTGGAACCAATCTGTTCCCAATAGCAAGGTTTCATCCGACGATTCTATAACCTGTACTGTGCTGGGTATGATCGTATTCTGAATGGTTATCCTTAAATCTTTAATCTTTCCCAGTGCTCTTGTTTTTGCTCCTGTGGCTGTTACTACGACGGTAGATGATTTTTCCAGGATTTTTAATCTTAGTTTATCTACCAATTTCTTTGTCATAATGCTAACAGCCGCGCTGGAGTCCAATACAGCCACTACGGGGTTTCCTTTGATCCTGACGTAGCACCTGGTGGCCGTGGTGCACTTTGGTTCCTCGAATGTTACATGGCTGGCTTCTTGTACCGGAGGTAGTGGTCTTCTTAGTATCTTAGCTAAATTTTGTTTTTGGTTGGGGTATTAGAGCATCTGCCCTATAGTTACATGAGCCGGGGAGTTTAAAATGTCTTCGGCGATATTGTATGGGGTAAGTTTGTCTATAACTGATGGCTCTCTTTTCCTCCTTGGTCGTTTTTCCAGAATGAACACATTCTCGTCCATTGCCTCTTGATCCTCCTCTAGTGATATCAACTGGGGTTCAGGTGGTGTATTTTTATTTCTTAATCTGTTTTCCTACTTCGATTCTGGTTGTCCTTAGGGTTTCTTTCCGTTACTGCTTCCTTCATAAGAGTGGTGTCTTTGTTGCTCATTCAGTACGTAGACCTTATCTGGTTCCACCCATAGGTCGTCCTCACTGTCTTGATTATCTTTTCTTACGTAATTACTAACTCTTTTAATTTCTTCGTTGCTTCTAGGTGTCTTTTCGGACAGGCAATACCAGGCGATATGACCTATTTCGCCACAGTTGTAGCAAGTTATTTCTTTCCTTGGTTCTCTTGTGGGTTCTCTTCGGAAGGTTTCTTCTTGGGCGTTTTTTCGATTGTTATCTTCTCGAAAGTTACTGCGGCGTCTTTCGTAGTTGTAGGGTTCTTTTATCTGGCTTGAATTTATGGCGGCGAAGTTTAGGGCTATCTGTTCGATCTTTTGTGACAGGTTACCCAATTCTTCTTCGAGTTTCTTTTGCTAGGTTTTCTCGGGGGTTTGTCTACTATAATACTCCTCTGCTTCTACCCTTCTTGTGCTAACAATGGCTTCTTCTAGGTTTTTGGGTTCCGACACTGCGACGAAGGTTGCGGTCTTTCCTCTTAGCCCACTTAGGAACATCCTAATTACGAATTCATCAGGTAAGCTGTCTTCGGGGTCTACTCTTCCTAACAGTCTTTTAAATTTGGCAGCGTATGCGTCGACTTTTTCGTCCTTTTTCTGTTGGAGACTATTCAGTTCTTTCTGCTACATGTGACGCTTTTCCGAGGTGGCGAAGAATTCGATAAAAGCATGGTAGAAGCTTTTTGGTTTGTTTTCTTCGTCCTTCCATTCTTCTAAATCTTTCTTGTTTCTTTTGTGCCAGTCCGCAGCTAAGTCCTTAAGGTACCCGGACGCTATCTTCAATATTCTTTCTTCAGACTAGTTATTAGCGATGGCAGCGCTTTCGAATGCCTCTAACCATTCTATTGGATCCTCATCATCATGACCGTAGAATGGATTAATTTTTATATGTATTAATTCTCTTCTTTCTCCTGGATCCTTCTTTGTGTTCGTAATCATGGTTGCTATTTGGACAAAAGAATTGGTCAGACCTTCGAGAAGTTCTTTCAGTTGTTCCTTATTCATTTCGGTAGTCTTAAGTTTCTTGTTCTAGGTAAGTATGGTATCCAACGTTGTTTATCTTTTCCTTTTCAGATTTTCCTTTCTATTTAAATTCTTTTCTATTTAAAATCTTTCCTATTCTTTCTCTTTATATTTTCTTTCTTCTAGTCTAATCTTTAAGTAGTTATTCTAAAAGCTAAGTTTTCTGTTCTAATGTTCTTTGTTTATACTATTATCTATTCTTGTCTTTTTTCACTTCAGGGGGTTTTACGATGTTTCGAGATATTCGATCTCACAGTCACTACCAAATAAAACCGGGACCAGCGGCGAGTCAGTCGCTTGATAATCCAAATACTTGCGTAACCTATGGTAGGCTTTACTGGAAAGAGGCGTGTTAGGTTTGGCGAGTTGGTTGGTTCCGTAGGTAGGTCTTTCTATTATTCGGGCAATTTCTAGTCTTCCTTTAACCTCAGCTATACCACACTACTTCGGGTAAGCTGGACTTATAAACCACAGTTGTACCA